GATAAGCACTCGTAATCACTGCGTTTCTACCTTCTCTGTTTTGTCCTTGTTGATGTGGAAGAGATGTGAGTGAGGTGGGGTGGAGAGATGGGGGTCTGGTAACAACAGTGATAATAGCGAGTCAGGGAAGTCAATGCTCGTGGTAAGACTCAGGGGCATCATGTAGAGTGATTAGATTTGAAGAGCTATTTGAAGAATAGCTCTTCCCCAAGCAAACAACTATTTAACAGGTTTGCTTCTAAATTATCATAGATCTTAAAGGGTTTGAAGAAAGATCTCATTCACCCATTATGATAAAAGCTCTTGGAGGGGAAAAATTAAAGAGACACATTCCAAAAAAGTGTTCAAATGCTACGTAAAAGTGCATGAAATCATGCCAAGTACTACAGCGTAAGTTCTTTATTAAATCCACCCACATAACAAGCCTTCATTAAAACAATTCCTGCCAAGTCCGACATACTAGCCTTGAACATATTTTCCCCCTGGTATTCAAAAATCTGTAATCTAAATGAATTTCATAAAATGTGTCAGTTTTAAGTTTTGAGTGTAAGTATTGAGTGAAGCCATCTGCAAATAAAAAGAATAAAATCTAGGACAATTCACCTCTTCTCAACAGCCCTCTCCCTTGGTTCAAAATCTTTCTCCTCTTGCCAAGAGTACTAAGCAGCCAGGGCTGGTCCAGGGAATGCCCACGCAAAGTCATTCTCTCACGGCCAAGGGGAAACAGTTGCCAAGACATGAGCTGCCCTTTCCACACCAAACAATCTTGTCTGCCCAAAAAGGATCAAAAGAAGCCAGGTTTCATCAGAAACCACATCCAAATCAACAGTGTTGTCCAAATCAACAGGGGGGAGGGGAGGGGCCAGTAGCCCAGGACAAGAGCAAACCCAGATTCCATTTTATCCAGGTCCCAGCCACCTCACGGCCCCATTTCCTTGCATGGCCACTGGGTTCTTGTGTTCACTTTGTGCAGATCTTGGAGGAGACCTACTTTGCAGCAAAGACAGTTTGTTCTTCCAGCAATTTGATACCCACAGTCCTAAGTGCAGTCCCCTCCTTTAAGCTGGGGCAATAAGCATGTTACTAAGTATGTGAAAGCACCCTTCTCTCTTCTGCCTGACACTGTCTATACTATCACACAATAAACAGAGTCCAGAGAGACTAATAAACTCAAGAGCGGGGGTGGAGGGTAGTGTTCAGAGATGGCTATTCTAATCCTTGTGCAGCTACGTCTTTTGAAAAATGCCAAATGCTTTTCATAAAGCGATGCTTAAGGCTCTGAGTCTTCAAATTTTAAACATTGAGTATGATATTCCCTTCTTAGCTTTTTTTTTTAATATTAAATTTTATTTTTATATTCCCCCATACAATTGCAAACGCCCCATTCTGACCCCAATCCTTCCCCTCCCGCCCCCCACCCCCCAAAAAGTGTCTCTGGTTCATAGTTTTTTGTTGATTTTGATTTTCACTTTCTTATATTCATTTTCCTGGTCCCTTATTTAAGTTTTCTAGATTCCTGCTATGAGTGAGACCATCCGGTATTTTTCTTTTTCTTTTTGGCTTATTTCGCTGAGCATGATCCCTTCCAGTGCCATCCATGTTGCTGCAAATTGCATGTGTTTATCTTTTTTGAATGCTGAGTAATATTCCATGGTATATATGTACCACATCTTCTTGATCCAGTCATCTATTTTTGGGCATTTGGGCTGTTTCCAAAGCTTAGCTATTGTAAACAGTCGTACTGCATGGCTAAAGGTGCTTGAAAAGGATTTTAGCTCTCTAAAATATGATAGACAAAATAAACTGATGTCACACAATATTTTACCCATTTTTTTCCACTACTACACATATCTGTAACCCCCTCAAAGATGGTTTAATTTAGCCTCACATAGTTCAAAGATGCCATTTGGAAGTAGGGGTAAAACTTCGAATTACACAGCATTATGTAACATTATGAACTATTTAAAAAACCTTCCCAAAAGGTTAAAACCAGGTCATGAACTGTATTTGGGACCAAATCTTATGAGGTTCTCAAAGACTCTTTTACAGGGCCTCCCCGGTGGCGCAGTGGTTGAGCGCTGGGTTGTGAAGCTGCAGGTGACCTCTGCGGCACCCGTTCGATCCCCAGCTGCTCCCCGGCCACCTGAGAAGGGTCCCACATGGCGCGCAGACCTCTCCTGCCACCTGCTGCTCCCCTCAGCAGTGTGCTTCGGTCTTTCTGCCTGCTCTGCTCCCCGCTCTGGCTCTGGTGAATTCTCTCACCCTCCCGCGCTTCTGACTGTACCCAGTGCATGTATAAACAAAACAAACAAACAAACAAATAAATAAATAAAACATGCCTCTATTGAAAAAAAAAAGACTCTTTTACAGATCATTTAGGAAGATTAAAGAAACCCAGTCTACCCATGAGAGTAGGGAGTCAATCAAAGTTGCCATTGAACATGAAAGAGACCCTTATTTTCTACTTTCTGACTATGGATTCTCTCTCCACAAAGTGTATCATCGGCCATTTAACTTTTAAAATGTGTTTCCCTTATTTTATTATCTCATTTTATTTGTGAATGTTATCAAGAGTCATATATAGAAATGGAAATAGCAGCAGCTCCATGGTCCCTTTGAGTACAGAGACAGTCAAGACCTCACCTCGTTCTCACTTGCTGAAATATGAACAGCACAGAGTGAAAGACTAGGATGTCCCGGCAAAGGAGAAGCCAGAAGTCAGGTCTGGCCCAGGGATGCCCCTAAAGTCATTCCCTCAAGGTCAGGGGGGAAAGAGTAACCAGGATATAATCCATCCTTTCCACATGAAACAATCTTGTCCACACTAAACTAGAATGGGGAGGAAGCCAGGCTTCACCAGAAACCACCTTCAGATCAACAGGGTTGCCCTTGAGGAGGTGTGGCCCAGGACAAAAGGTGAGAAGATTCTCTTCTCAGAAGCAAGTGGCTCTGATAACCTGGTGTCAGAGTGAACTGTGCATGTCTCCCAAATGAGTGAAAACATCTACGGGTCTTTGACAAAGGAGTTTCTCCTTATAAATTCTAAAAAACTAAAATGTAAACCTGAACTATGAAGATTATGTAAGGACAGAGTATAGAGATAAAATGTCCCAGGCATGGGAAAAATGAATTAAATGGAGAAGGAGGATTGAAGGAGACTAGTTAGATGGGTTCAATTAGGTGGCGTGCAGAAGAAGTCTGAACTGGGCTACCGCATGGATGAAAAGTGAGTACGAGTCATCTCTATAAAACAGATATCCTATGAGGCAGGTATTATTTATTAGTCCCATTTTACAGTTGATGAAACATATGCACAAACTTATAGTCTTAAATGGGTTCTGGCAAATGATGGTCTTTGGAGCAAATCCAGTCCTAAAGTTTTGCTGAAATTTCCATGCCTGTTCCTTTACATAAAGTCTCCAGTCCTGAAAGTCTAAAATATTTACTAGTTGGCCTTTTCTAGAAAAATTCCACCAACCCCTAGTGTAAAACAGAATAAATGCATGGATAAAGAATGAAAGGCAAGCACACTATGGATAGCGCCACATAGACCCTCTACAAAGACTTTCTTAGAAAAAACATTCTCTTGATGAGTTTCTTTCATTCATATCTTATCGTATATCCTTTCACTCAGGACTTAGCAATCAGCCTCTGAAAAATCTCCTGGAACCCCAGTTTGGTGACTAATTTCTTTCAGTACTGTGAGTTTTGATTAGGCAGAAAATTTTTCAGAAAGAAAGAAAAAAGGACAGGCCAAAGAAACTTTGACAAGCCTAAGATCCCTGAGAGGTTGTAAATTTTTTGGCAGTTTCACAGGTATTTCTCCTCAAGTACAAATGACATCATTGTTGAAATAAAAAAAAAGAAAACAATTGGCCCCATTATTCAGCATTTGGTAACACATATTGTTTTGGTTGAACATCAATTGATCGGTCTATTTTTACTGGGAAGTTAGGTCATCGCTATTTTTAGAAGACAGTGTCCAATTTGTGGGACTCAACACACATTCAAGTCTTAGAATTTGTCCTAAAGCCATAAGAACGTCTGTATTTGGTGGAGAATGTGCTCATCGGCACTTAGTCCGCTATGATTTGGAACATATTTTAGACTAGACGTCTGAGACAGGAAGGAGACATTAACCAATGAAAGCAGCAAAGTGAGGGTACCTTTAAAATTCATCGGTTTGCTTTTGAAATATTAATATTTTTAATCGTTAATTGAAATGGGTTACATCTAAGCTGCTCTGGTAATTCTCATTTTATCCTTTAAAAGCTATCTATAAATCATAGTCAAGTTCATAATTGAATTTCCAGAGCGTGTGATCTGGCACAGGGCTCAGCTCGATTTGCATGGACTCAAATAATTTCTGTAAAGTTGTTTACTACGAAAGTGAACAGAAAGTTAATGCTGGGACAAGGCAAAGCCCGAGGTTTTTCTCTGCCCTTCACCACTTCCCCAAAACCCTATCCCATAGGGAGATTCTCCCAGAACAGTGGTTCTGAGCACCCTGCACCACACAGCCTCACCTGAGATCTTCCACAATCCCATCGCCACCATCATACCCAAGCCGATGAGCGCTCAGCCTCTGACGGCAGGACAAAGCGTCAGTAGTTTTGGGGGCGACACTAGTAGACAGTTGTGAGTAAGGTGAAGATAGCCTGCCCCCCGCCACCTGTCCATCAGGAGACCCGAATTCCTGCTCCCTCCTGGGGAGATGGCTCCAGGATTCTGAGATCTTTGCTGCAGGCCTGAACACAACATCCCGGTGGGCACACCGGGCTCCTCATTATTGCTTCTCTCACGTAATCAATTCACTAGTGCAGACGGGAAGAGGATTTGACACAGACAGTGAGCATGGCCTAGGGCTTCCCTTACATTCTGCTGTTGAAACATCTCCCCACCTCTTCATCCTAGGGCACAACGCATCGCTGACACCTGACCCTTCACTTCCCACGCACGTTTATTCCTCGTGACAACCTTGAAAAGCCAGGGCCACTTACCTCGACGATGCTTTTTAAATCTTGCACGTAAGTCCTTTCAGTCTCCAGAATTTCCTGGACAACTCTATCCACATAGAGGAGCTTGGGGCTGGCGGCCGAGTCTGCGCTGGCTTTGGGGGCCCCGTGCGCGTCCATCCTCCGCGGCGCCCGGGGCGGCCTGTCGCCGGCCTGGTCCTCGGCGCGCTGCCCAGCCGGGCCCTCGCCCTGCGCCTCGCTGCTGGACAGCGGCCTGGCGGGAACCAGCTCCAGCCTGATGGCCCCCGCTTCCTTATCCTGGTGAAACATGCCCAAGTGGCTGTTGGAAACCAAGGTCATTCTGCTGCCGAAGGACCCGTGGCTGTCCCGGGAGGAGGCCGAGGACGACGTGGAGCCGAAGCTGACGGGGCGGTCGCTGTCGGAGAGCTCCATGGCCCTGCGCTCCTGCCCGCGGGGCGGCCGGGCTGCGGGGCCGGGGGCTGGCGCGGCTGCTACAGCTGCGGGCACTTGAGGCCGCAAGGGGTGCGCATCTGTGGGCGGGAAGAAAAGGGCACGGTGAGCAAGGGCTTGCAAATTCTCGCCAACCGAGGGAGGTGTGAACCTCACCCGTGGCAGCAGGAAGTGCGAGGAGCCTCCGTGGCTGGCTGAGCTGCAAAAGTGGCCTGGGGGGCCGGAAAGCAGCCTCACCTGCCAGACGGAGAGCCCCGCAGCCTCCAGCCCCCGCCCCAACCACCGGCCTGAGTCGGGTGTTCTGGGGCCGCCAGTGCCCTCTGCACACACACACTGAGGTCTGAGCAGCCCTGCATCTAGTGCCTCGAAGTGGAACCACCTGGAATGACTAATGAATGCACCTTGACCCAGATTCACTGCATCGAAGGCCCAGGGCCCAGGGCGCCCGGGTGGAAAGTTTAGCATGCACACCAGCGATTCTCGTGGCCCGAAAACACACCTGACGGGGCCCTCTGGAATTTTGTGTTCTAGATTTTAAATAGTCCACCAAAGCCCCACACAATGGTAAGCCACCTGGAACCACCACTACATCAAGAATGCTGACAATGTCACATTTTACTTGTATCCTGTAGTAAAGAAAGCGCTGCGTGGTCGCTAACAGTGGGCAAGAACATAAAGGCAAATATTAAGACCCACCTCTCCTTTCAAACCTCCCCCTCACCACATTTCTGTAAATCCCTTCTTGAAAGGTGACATTCCGTTGGTCTACACAGAGTTACAGTATTCCCAGATTGGGCTGACTGCAATAATCCATAGTAAAGCCAGACCACATGGCACTGTAATCATAGGATTACATAATTAATTCTATAGGGACTCAATTATGAGGAAAAAGATGTACTTTAAAAGAAATGGAGCTACTGATAAGAGAATAGCTGCAAAGTCAAGAGGTTGATTCCTACCCACAGCACTTAAATCTTGAGTCCAAAAAGGCCCTACGAATGATTAGAACCTTTAGAGGGTCCAATTTTCTTTATTTGTAGGACGGGACCAACATCCCCCTCCCATACTGATAATGAGATCCTAGGTTTACAGAAACAAAATGTTTCACAATTGAGAGTGTGACTAGTAAAAACATTTGCTTCTTTTTAGCAAGTTACCATCAAAATGCATGTTTACAGGTTTTGTGAGAAAAACAGAAAAGTGTAACTTACGTTTGGAAGGTTATAATAAGACAAACACAGTAACATGAAAATAGATTGATGATCATTTTTCAAAAGAAACATGAATTTGGTTTGACTCTAGAATAAAGATCAGCCAACAGCTGGTACCAATATTTGTAGAACGCTAAAAATCCATCAAGACAATATCTTGGTGTTTTTGAGGTAGTTTATATTCATGGCAAATATTAATGCAAACTTATAATGAAAATATTAAAATTATGAATATGAAATAATGGAAATAACTTGGGTCAACAAGAAGGAATGGTAAGAAATGTGTAGGAAATGAGTAATTTATCAGCATAACCACTACCACATGGCTTAAGTTTGCCACAAATTTTTAAAGCTTTTGCAATATTCTTTCGGCTTGCTCTATAACAACTTTACGGCCTATAAAACATGGATTGGTTATAGTAGTTAAAGTGCACTTGCTCTAAAAATCATGATCCAACTTGAGTATGGCAAGAATCCAAGAAGCAGCCAGCCATTTTAGCATGCTTGCAGCAGGGACACCCACTCATACTTGGGACTGGTGTTAAGAATGTCCTGGGCAGCTGAAAGTAGGAGCAGACACAACATGTGTTTCTCCACCTCGGCTTCCACCATAACTACTACCATGAGGCTGATCTCACTTTCAGAAATGGGCATTCATTTGGGAAGTCTATGAGGATTCTTTTTAAAATTTTTTTTAATTTTAATTTTATTTTATATATTTTTACATCATTCTTCATTTTTGTACAATGTATGCTTTCTCATCTCAGTTATAGTCCCTGTGAAATTCCCACCACCAATTCACCTGTGCACCATCACCATAGTCCTTTGTGTTCTTCCCACCCCTGTTTTGACCCTACTCCCCCCACCCCATGAGGATTTCTTTTATGAGCCTGTGAGTAAGGACAACGTAAGCCGGATGTAGTCTATATGAAAGCCAGGGCATCTGGAAGGGTCTAGACCAACTTACCCCCATAAATCTGGATACACTGGCCTCTAAGGAAAGTTCTGATTTTTTTGAAGACGAGACCCAATCTGCTTTCCAATATACAAAGCTATATTTAACTCTTGGCAAATATTCACTATCAGGACTAGTGAAAATGAACACACTAGAGAGACTCATTTCTTTTCTTTCCTTACTTTCACTCCAACTTATACAGCCACATGACAGCAAGGATGAGAGAAAAACTACAGGGTGTTTGAAGGAGTCCATGTTGAGCTGCTGGGGATGATGGTGCCTTTTATGTTCTCAAGGGCAGGAAAATGTGAGATATGATGAAACAGGGGATCTCTTCACGGGTGAATCTCCAGCAGCAATGTGACTGCACCCTACTCCAAGGAAGGTTGACAGGTTCTAAAGACCAGGCCTGTATTCCAGCCACTGGGAACAACCTACTCTTTAGACAGCCAAAGGGCACTTTATAAATAGACTATTTGAGATATTTTGTATCTGTAGTATTTAGCTTACTGCTCCAACTAAACACCTTCCAAAATTACCAACAGAAGCGAACCATTTAGAGCTAAATCACATAATGGCATATAATATGAGACTGCATTTGCTACTGTTGATTCATTGCTTAGAAGATAATTACAGTTTTCTCACATAAGGAAATGTACCTCATAAAGACTGTCTAGTCTTATTCTCACCTCCCTCAAAATAATTTAAGATTTCCACCCTGTCTGGTTTATTTTTCCTGACACAACTCATCAATTATTAATATTTATCTCTACAGTTTTACTGTTCAACACAGCTGTCAGTAGCCGCATACAATGATTGGGTGCAGCTAGTCCAAAGTGAGACGTGCAATAAGTGTAACAGGTATATCAGATTTCAGAGATTTAGTATGAAACAAAACTGTTAGAATTTTTATGTTGGGCCTCCCTGGTGGTGCAAGGGGTTAAGTCTCAGCACTATGAAGCTATTGGCAGCCACTGTAGCACCAGTTCGATCCCTGGCCAGGGAGCTAAACCCTTGGCACAGCAGACCTCTCCTGTCTCGCCCACTGCTCCCCTCAGCAGTGTATTTCAGTAGATCCACCTGTTCTGCTCCCCACTCTGTCTCTGGTGAACCCTCTCATACACACCCCCACCCCCGCACCTCTGGCCTGCACATCAGCTCTTGTATGCATAAATAAATAAATCTTTTGAAAAAAGAATTTTTATGTTAATGACATGTTGAAATAATATTCTGGAATACTGTGTTGAATAAATATCTTCTTAAAATTATTTTCCCTGGTTAATTTTACTTTCTAAAATGTGGCTACAGAACATGACAAATTTTACATGTGACTTGCATTATATTTTAGTTGGACAATGATGACCTAGAAATCTTCAAAGTAATTATGTTAATCTCTACAATTTAAATTTACTTCCATTTTAATCTTTGTTCAAATAGTAAATGGAGAGGAGTGTATGAGTGTACAATTTGTACGAGTGTACAATTTGAGGATTATCTTTTTTTTTTAATACTCTGTTCCTAATACACATATTGCTATGAGTTAGTGAAAACAGAACTGGGGGGCAATTGCTGTGTCTAGATATTGGGGTAACTGATTGCCCATGATATAATGAAACACCCAGATAGAAATGTAAAAAGCAACAAAACAAGCGAGAGATTATGGAAAGTTTCTGTTAACACTTGGGTAATTTACTGCTTTGCTTTGCTTTCTTTTTTATAACCTCTGTCACTTTCTCACTAAATCTCAAACACAGAACCAGCTTCTGAAAACTTGCAAACAATGCTAATAGCTCACATCAGTGGATTTTTTTACTATAAATACGCTGAAAGAAGCTGGTTCTTCCTACCTTGAAGATCTCAGTCTATCTGACTCTTTGAAAACCTGGAGATGGGGTGGAAGAAGCCCATAAAGAGGGGTCTCAGCGTCTCACCGAGTGTCATAACTGAAGGTATTTTCAGTCTAAAGCCGTAAAAATAGACTATTCCTTCTTGTGTCATCATAAAAAAAAGGGGGTGGGGCCTCGCTGGTGGCACAAGGGGTTAAGCACAGCACTGTGACGCTGTCTGCAGCCTCTGCAGCACAAGTTCCATCCCTGGCCAGCCAGGGAGCTACCCACATGGCGCAGCAGACCTCTCCTGGCTCGCTCGCTGCTCCCCTCAGCAGTGTATTTCAGTAGATTCGCCTGTTCTGCTCCCCAGTCTGTCTCCGGTAAATCCTCTCACGCCCGGCACTTCTGGCCCATACCCCAGTTCTTACATGCATAAATAAATAAATCTTAAAAAAAAAAAAAGGCTACCAGCTCCTTCAGAGATGGTCTTTCACACAGTCTCCTTCACGACCAGATGCCTCTCTATTTTTTCTAGGTGAAAGAACTCTCATTCCTTGGCTCTTCTTTGTTCTTCAAACTTCCATTATTTCAGTTGCTCTCTTTGGAATGTCACCGCCAGAATCCAAAGCAACCGTTCTTGGCCCTCTCTTGTCTCTCAGGCTGGTCTAGGGTTGAAGCAGAACTTTCCATGGCAAGGAAAGCCCAAGATTCCTGTGACCGTGTTTACATGTCCAAGGGGCCTCGGGCTCCCTGCCCTGCTCTGAGGAGAGCGCTCCCCAGCCAGGCTCCTCCAGGACTCAGCAAGGGCTGAGGAGTGATGGGGATTTCCAGATTCTGCTCATTGTTATTCTAGACTTCAAATAGCTCGTCTGAGTTCCTTGGCAGGACAATCATGGAAATCAAGAGAATGTCTTGTGCTTAAGACAAATGAATAACGAAAATCATGTAGTTCCTTACTACACCAAAGAGGCCAGCAACAGAGACAGAAGGATCAGCAAGAAGTTATTCTATCGGCCAGCAGACTTCACTTAACACAGAGCCAGTCTCTTGTTGAACCATAAAGTTGTAAACAACTGACTTCATGGTTAAAAAAAATTAAGCCAATTTATATAGCATTGGCCAAGACAACTGTCAAAGACAATTTATGACATTTACATGACAAGGACAACAGCAGGTTTTTGAGGAGTTTCTCCCCCAACCCCCACACACACACCCCTGAGCACAATGATAGCTGAATAAGCCACCAGATAGCAGCAGGAATTCTTACCCCTTGGTTTTCTAAAATACCAACGTGGTTCTTGTCTTAATGACAAGGCTGTGACTGCAATTCCACATGCACTTTACCACTCAAGTGCTAGTCATACTTATTTGTAGAAATAAAGAAGTTGGAAATAAAGAAGTAACCATTTAGCCTCCATGTTAATTTCTCAGATTGACAAGGCCCTATGGTTATGTAAGGGGTTAGTCTTGGAGGAAACAGGATGAAGGGCATATGGGCTGGAGTACCTTTGTAACTTCAGTGTAAATTTAAACATTTTCTAAAATAAATAGTTTAAAAAAAAAATCTGTGACCATTTAGGAGTCAGTAAAGCAAGCATTTGCACCAGAAGATCAGGAGTGGGAAAAGAGGCTTTGCCAAAATACTCTTGTTCAAATAAGAGATGAAGGATTCAATGAGGGATGAAGATTCCTTCCAGTTGTAAAGTCTGATACGAAATATTCAGATAATTTGCTAACCGATGCCCAGGCCAGTCCGTGGAAGCTGACAGGTACAGATGTTAGCACGGTTGCCTGAGCTAAATGGTGACTGCAGAACGTCTACATTTGAGGGCACCGGCTTAAATAAATGAGGACCTAAGGGAATTTCATTAAGGATTTTTATGCAAATGGAGTCACATCTACTTTTACTGTCTGTTGTGTTTTTTTGGGGGGTGACTTAGTGTGGAAGGTGAAGGAGTTTTTGGGGGCAGGCGAAGGGATAAAACTATCCCTCACATTATCACTTTCACATGGTTAGTTGTCTACCCAAATCCACTCTTTTAGGAAATAGTTTCAAGTGAGCTCCCTCCCAGACTCCCTGTTCTCGGACATGGCCACGTGGTCAGCTTCTCACCAGGGGACACAGGTGCCCTCTGGGGGGGGGTCTGTCCTGCACTTCCTCTTCCCTTCCCACTGGACCCGACAGGCAGGGCCCTTTCCTGCTCTGTGAATGTGAAACCCACGTCCTGTGGAGTACGCAGAGCACAGAGACAGAGGCCTTGCAGCAGCTGGGGCTGCATTGCCCCAAGCCACCACATGGAAATGTCTGGTTGGCCTGAAGCTGCTGTGTTGGGGAGACTGTGTGGGGAGTGCACCCTGAGTGTAGGGTGATGCCCAAGGTCCCCAGCTTTCTGAGTGTATCCAGCTGAGGCACTGGATATGTGAGCAGGAAATCTTCAAAGGACCCTGAACCTTCAAATGATGCATGTGGGACTTCAACTTCAAGAGCCTCTATATCAGAACCACCTGCCAGAGCCCCCCTGAACTCCTGACCAGAGAAACCTTGAGTGATTATGAATGACTGTTTTGGGTTCAAGCCACAGCACCCCTGATTACATCATATGAGTAGCCTGACCCTCAGATGCCAGTGCTTTAACTCCATATCAAAATTATCCTTAGGGAAAAAATAGTATCAAAATTAATTCAGGTGTCATTACTACATAACAATTTTATAGATGGAGAAAAATTATGAGAGGTCAGGCAGCACCATGCTCAAAGTTGATTGTGAACCCAAGTCCATGTTTCTGATTTCTAGTTCCTTTTTCCTTGGGCTGAACTATAGATGGGCACCACAGTTAGGCAGGACAGGAGCCTAAAGCTCAGGAAAGGGAAGACTCAATATAAACACTGTGTAAAGCACATGGCCCGCAGTGAGAGTGTGTGTGTGTGTGTGTGCGTGTGTGTGTGTGCACGCACACCTGCACACGTTTGCGTGCATGCAAGAGCTCATAGGACAAGTCAGATTATAAGTTATAACTTCCTCTTGGTCAGAGGATTTGCGTATCTGCCCTGGCCTCACCATCCAGCTTTGTATTGCAATCTCTGCATCTCTGTTCCCTCACATGGAAGTGATGCAGCTGCACTTGGTGACTTCCCCAGGTCCCATCCAACCTTGAGGACAAGACTCCAATCCTGAAATAAACACAACTGCATTTGCCCACCCCGAGCTAGAGTCCCAGCAGAAGCAGCAGCCGCAGATAGCAAGTTTCTTTTACATCCTACAGCCTTTCATCATCCAGGTCTTGGATGATGAAATATTTATCAATAACTTTGCCAAGAGCTGAAAAAAATCTATTTTTAATTTAGATTAAGTAGTAAGCTCTGCTCCAGCATCAGCTTGAACAGTGCCTTCCTGTTGGTGTGGAAGCATCAGACTCGGGCAGTAGATCAACAAAGATAATCACACATGGGCCCCTTCTGAATTGAACACCATCAGCTCCAAAAACATCTCTGCATTGTTGAGAGGGAGGCATTGGGCTAAACAGCATTTTCTTCAAGAAAAAGGAGGGGGAGGGTAGAAAAGTCCAAGCGACGAACAATAGTACCCAGCGTAAGTGAATCCATCCATAAAGTACACTAAGCGTTTTCTTAAAGAAAAAGGAGGAAGGAATTCAAAGTCTCGAACAATAGAGACCTGAGTAAATAAACCCATCCTGGAGAAGGTACAATGTAAAGCTATTAAATGTCATGTCCTCTCAAATGCTTAAGGATGTAGAAAATGGTCATAATATACTGTTGAGTCAAACTGTAGTTTTTAAAACATAGTACAGTGTTATCCCAATTTTGATTAAAAATAACACATTTATTATGCACAATAGAAAAAGATAGAAAGAATATACCATAAAATATGAACACTGGTTTGACCAAGTAGGAGAATATATGATTTTCGCCCTTGGCTATTTATCTGTAAATGTCACTTTTTCCCAACTGTATTACTTTTATAATCTGAAAAGTTTATTTAGGAAAATTAAAATCACAGTCTCAAGTTGTATCAAATATTTAAATATTTTAAATTAAAATAGTGATTTTTTTATGGTCAATAGATGGTTAATGAAAAAAGTCAAACGCCTCTCTTTCACAATTATTAGTATCACTGAATTAAAATAAGATTCTTATGGGCAGCAGCACCGCAGACAACCCATGTCTCCTCCCCAGTCCTTCCTCCTAACAAAAGTATTTCTCTCCCATAAACAGCAGAAATAGAAGCTGTATTTAGCCAACTCTGGTGACCAGGCTAAATTTCATCACAAAAGTTGCTAAGTATAAAATTTGCACACATTTATTTTGCTTCCCCAGCTCCGTCTGCAAGAACCTCATAAAGAAAGCAGCTTAAAGCACTGAGCATGCCAGGCACGACCGTTTAGGATTTCAGTTTTCTCCCCAGATATTTCCACCGAACTTGAGCAAAACCAAACCAAAACAATTTGGCAAAACCCATTTCAGACTGCAGGTTAAGACGGAGAGGCAAAAATCACCTTCTAGATTAACTCCATTGCGGGAGAATTCTTTTCAGTACACCGAGCTTATGACACAACAGCTGTAATCAATCCAAGGAGCCGCTGTCCCCACCGTGTCAGAAAGAAACCCACAGCGACAGTTTCTCCCAGTGGCGGTGGAGGGTGGAGAGTCTCCTGCTGCTTCACAGAGCCGGAAAGAACAAGTTAGTCCGGGCCTGGGCTCCTGGGGCACGTTCCCATTAGCACCTACCTGCGCTCTCCCGGGGCTGAGCCACATCGCCTGCCTTCAGCTGATGCAGTGACCTCACAGGCAGGTAAAACCAGCAGCCTGACTAGTCTGTGCAGCTCCTTCCGTAGAAATATTGCATGAGTCAGCTTTTATCTCTCAAAACCCAACACACAAAGGCTTCACAAAAACCTGATTTGCAACTTTCCCTCTGCCTTTCCCCCTAGTGTGCAGACCACAGCCTTCTGCATCCCTGAGAGCCTGAAATGAAACATGACATCATTCGATTGAGAAACAGGACAATAGGCACCACTGTGGGTAACTTGAAAATGCACACTTCGCCCAGCGACGCCCTGCCACTGCCATTCTTTTGTGAACTTCAAATACAGCCCACAAGCTGCTTGGCTTTACCTTCCTGCTCCCGCCCCCGTTCTCATCAAGCATTCTCCACAAAATAAGCAAGAGCTCCGGAGCGCTGATATTTTCGAGCTCACTTCCTGAATTATAAGTTTACTTCAAAGTAAAAGGATGCATCTTTCACACCAGTCTCAACATCAAGTGGGGGTGGGGTGGGGAGCTGGAGAAAGCTCAGTGGAAGGCGGTTTGCAGCCTTTCTGTTAACAAGACATTTAATCCCATGTTAAGAAAGCAGAGTTAAACCATTTAAGCTTGACTGTTTTTTTTTTTTAACGTTCTAAAGAACCCATCTGAACACAACACCTAAAATGTAAACTTTCAAAAACCAGTTACATTCTCTGATTTTATAATCATGAATACGAAGTGGCCAAGAAAGATTTAACTCTCTTGCTTGAGAAGGCGAGAAAGTCCAATTATTATGGCTTTCCACGTCCCTAGCACCACCTATTCTTCTTAAAATGCTGACTCTGTTTTTATAAAAGATTCAAAAGGTTCATATTTGAAGAAGATACTGAGTTCCTTCCATGAAGGTCTCCAGAAGTCCAAAAATGTTACTGAAAACGGATACCATTGTACCATGGAACTAAAGCCCAGAATATGGATTACACCCAGGTGTCGACACCAAACACTAAAACTATTTCAAAGGATCAAAATCCTTTAAACAGACACTTTGTTTAAAACATTCATTTGGGGCTATGGAAAATAACTTTAGCTGACTGTCTTTAATATAGCGATTTCAGTCATGCTGATTAATTTTAAACTAACAGCATAATAGGATAATTTGTTTTAATGCCTATTTCCTTTCAAGTAAGGCTGATCGTATATTGGGCCACTTATATAAGCCATTTGGATGAAAGATTCAATTCAGAAGACAAATGTTGAAATGCTTTTCCCCCACAAAATACACCAGCTTGATAGAAAGTGACACATCATGGATGCTGAAAAGGCAATTTGAGAGCCGAGGTCCTCCCTGGGCTTTGGGGACTGTCTAAATCTTCGGATCTGACCTCCACAGGGATCTTTCCTGCCTCCCCAAAGTTGTTCCCCATACCCGTGCCCCCATGTTGCTGTTTCTGTTTAGCTAAAAAATCAGCTCAAATCTTAGGAGCGTCTAATCTTCGGCCACCGCTCCAGTCCACTGCTCTCTGCATTTGTTGAAGACTATTTATGACACTTGGACTATAAGCCTCCTGTGGTCTCAGAGTTAGTTTTTTCCTGTCTCTCTCCCTCCTGGGGTTATCAGCTGGGGGAGCGGGGCACCGTCCTATGGAGTAGATTTGATATTCCTGGGGAAGACAGGAAGGTCTTAATTCTTAGGTGGTAGGGTGGGATGAGGCTCATTCTTCTGGGCCTCTCCTCTCAGCACAAATTAACTACTTTCATCATCCAAGAAAGAATTACTATACTTGGATATTTTTGTGCCAACAGACATGTTTTTAATAAGCCATTTTTATATATAGTTTTGTAAATGAATGGTAAATCAATAAAATGTGATTGAAAAGAATAAAAAGGCCATTTCTGAGAGATACTGTGTACATTACAAGTGAGCAAAACTAGCAGCGGTGCCTGGGGTGAGACACGGGACAGCCCACTACATGGACACCTGGGACAAGCAACGCAGCTTGGAGTCAGCCAGGGTGTGACAGCACAGGCCTTGGGTGGGCCCAGGGGCCAGACACTTGTTAGGCCGCCCAGGATGCTTGTCTCAGCAGAGTCACCCTGTGTAAAAGTTAAGACCTTTCCAAACACTTGCAAGTAACTGAACCGTTACCTGCCAGCACCCACTAATGTGGAAGGGTCATAGTATTTTGCATCTGATTTTCCAGTTTATATTTTTTTATTGAGGTAACACTGGTTTATAACACCGTGTAAGACTCAGAGGTGAAGGTTCACCCCCTGAGATTATGTTGCTGCACCTCTCCTCCCTCTTAGGCACCCCTCGTTCTCCACCTGAATGTATTTTTTTTTAATGATGAGCTTCTTCAGAGTAGGGAGGACACACACAATTTTTTGTCTTTATGTTTATCCCAACACCAAGTATTTGCTGAATAAATTAGCTATCAGTCACCGTCGAGAGCCAGAGAGTGACATCACAGCTACCTCCTCTGTGCACGTGGTCAAATGAATCCCAAACCAGGCCAAAGGCACAAGCGTGCGTGTCCTGGTGACTTCTTGCTGCCTCACCATTATTTTTCCTTTTGACTAAAATTAATAGGTGAAAAGATCATTTATGCTCAGCAAATACCTTTTTAAATGTTAGTGAGATTGACCGAGATAAAATGCACATTTAGGTTCTGTTAGACGAAAAAAAAAAAGTTCTTATTGGAAAATAGCTTTTTCACAGAGCTGGTTATACATCAGGGAGCCTAGAAACTCTTCACTGTATCCTCATGTGGGGGGGGGGGAGCTAAGGCTCGGCAGCAGAGCAGCACCCCAGGTATGTCTACATCCAGCAGAACACAAATCAACCAGTGAGCCAAGTACAAACCTGCCTTGTGGCTTAATGGAAGGAAGCCCAGGAAGTCCCAACATTTAAAGACATCCTTTCATTTTTGATAGCTGTGTAGTATTCCATTGCATGCATATACCACATCTTCCTTCATTCATCTGTATGCGGGCACGTAGGTGGTTTCCACACCACACCCACCACCAAAGCATCCACAGTCCCTCCTCATAGTCCTTTGTGCTGCCCTGCTACTTTGTACTTCCCCCTCCCCACAACAACATCTGCAAGGGGAGATCCTATACCTTTAAGATGCAAATAACCAGTGTTAACTTAATAAAAAAAGAAAAAGAAGGAAATAATGAAAACATCCTTTCCCAGAGAGCTGCCATCAGGCCCAGGATTCCACTATGAGAACCAATGCTAGTTGGTTTAAGTTACAAGTTGCCAGTTCTATCTCTAAGATGGCCTGGCAAGGGCTAGGGAGGCCTGGACACAGCTGTGAGAACTGGCCTGCCCATCCTTCTTAGGAATTATCTATTAGCTAAAGAATGAGGCCAGAAGGGCACTGGTTGTTCGGGCTGGGGGCTGTGGCGGGGCGGGGGGTGAGGGGGGGCTCATATAGCGTGCAGTTCCAGGGCCCAATGGGCTCTGACCTAATTGAAACACTTTGCTGACTTTGCAGCCTGGCAACAGCCCCAAGAAGCTAGGCAGTGAAGGCTGAAAGAATGGCCGAGAGAAAGGAAGAGGTGGAAAGGCACGCCTACATTTTTTGGATTCAGGAGAAATTTTGCTTCATACAATCAATATCAGATAAGGCAGATTAGAAAATAATCTCAAATTTTCAGACCCAAAGACCTGGAAACTATAAGGGCTTCTACAAAACAATTACTATTTTATATAGAGAGCAATTTTCATGCTGAAGAAGGGACAGATTCTATTTATCTTGTGATTTACGATATTGTCATGTGACATAGGACACGAGACCAAGACAACTGGTAAAACCAACTATTTTCTAAAGCAAGATCGATGGCAAAACATTCTTAATATATAGTTAGTTTGTTAGAACTGTTTTGAAAGTGAACAGCTTGAGATTACCATCTGGTCTTGTGCCACAGCACAGAAGAAAGGTGATGAGCAGTTAATCCATTGCTGTCAAGGGGTGTCACACCTCCCCATGGATGTCTCCTCGCAGGTCACAATGACCTTGCTTCTGAAACAGGCGATGTTCTGGTACCCTCTGCATTGCAGTTGTTTGTTAACAATCCACATGCACCCTTCCAGACAGGGCAGCCCAAACCCAGAGGATATCACCAACTCCAAATTCTGCCTCGCTATCGTTAGACAAAGCAAACGATAAACCTGTTCCACAAACAAAACCTCCAACCTGGCTTTTCTTTTTAAAAGGCTACTTGCAAAGTGCAATCATTTTAACAGCATCTGATTTTGTCTTCACAGATGTCAAAAAAAATGCTTACTAAGAGCAAAAGATATAAATCTAAGGTGGGCAAAGCTCTCAAATGTAGAAGCAATTAAATGAAGGTATGGTTTTTTTGGTTCTCATGGGATATTAAGTCTAATAATGGAAACCAGACTATAAATAGCAAATCGTTACCAGTACTCAAATTATAGAACTCAAAATGTAATTTTCCATCTTCTACTGCACTCAAATACTAGTGTTAAGTCATGATCATCAGACTTGGAGAAAACAAATAAAGCACATTATTCATAGGACTTTTTCACAGCTTACCCTCTCCTTGAAATTAAGCCACGACTGAACTTCTCTATCCGATGTCAGTCTGCCATGAAAACCCACAAGAGCTTCTGGAACGGCCTCTGTTCTTGAACTCAAGATGCTGGTTTCAAGGAGCCCCTCCATGGCTCATTTCTCTGCCTCTATAAAATCACTGGCTCTATTTTTTTTACTCTGTTCTTTTATTAGGACATTTTGGTCTTCATTTTCCAAGACAATGAAATCAAGTTATTTCTGAACTAGATAATTTTTAGATATCAAGTAAGCAGTATGTTACAAATAGTCTCTGGCTTCCAATAAGATATCAGTCGAGTCTTTAAGGACACCATTGGAGGACTCGCTGTGCTAAGCACAATGAACTAATTATCCCTGAAAGAATGCAGTCTATTTGCAGGCACATTTTTCTCCAGGAGATAGCACACATCTAAGCCATTCATAACCAAAGGCATTCAACACAATCTATACTTTTGAAAACTCCCTTTAAAAAGTACTTGAACTTGTGAAATGGGGCTTGGATGCTTTGCTCAAATCCTGCAGCAATATTTTCCAAGATACTAATTCAAATAAGAATCTATTACAGTTTCAGAGCAAGAGCCATAGAAGTTCATAACCTTTATGTGAGCTTGTAAAGCCAGTTCATGTCCCGGGAGAAGAGGGGCCAGCCTCCCTCAGCCAGTCTCTCTCTCTAGGGCCAGGGTGATGAAGTGATGGGGGGGACCTTGCTTGACTTCACCATCTGCATCCCCTCCTGCCACCCTCTCCCCCCATGCCGTCATCATGGTGGACAGAAGGACAGAAGCAGCAGAGGTGAGGATGTACTCTTGTGTGAGCATAAGGGGGATATAGACAGCCACTCAGAACAGGGAGGACCCAGTCTCTGAACTGGTTCTGAATCTTCTCCATACCAACTGCCACCCTATAGGTTCATCTGTCCCCAACCCCAAAGCCACTTTCTTTCTTTCTTTTTTAAAAAGATTTATTTATTTATCTATCTATCTATTTATTTATTTATACAAGCACTGATTTCAGTCAGAAGTGCCGCAGGGTGAGAGAATTCACCAGAGCCAGAGTGGGGAACAGAACAGGCAGAGTGACGAAGTACACTGCTGAGGGGAGCAGCGGGCGGCAGGAGAGGTCTGCGCGCCATGC